TTTATTTTGCTTTTTCATTCATGAATACAACATTTAAAAAAAATTTAAAATGTGAGAATTTACCTCCTCACATAAACATAAAGCAAACCTTTTATAAAATCCACCTCCAATTTCTTTCTTTCAATATTTGAAACTGAAGTAACTTTTTCTTTGAAGTGATATGACATCTTATGTTTAAAAGATAAGAAGCACTGAGGAAATGTTTAAATTATATCAGAACAGAGCCACAGCTCACTCCCCGTGATTGCACACATAAATGAAAAAGCAAAATAAAAGCTCACAAAATCCTTAGGAAATGCTTGAATTCAGGTGCACTTACATGCAACCAAAAAATTCATGAATACAAAATTTAAAAAAAATTTAAAATGTGATAATTTACCTCCTCACATAAACATAAAGCAAACCTTTTATAAAATCCACCTCCAATTTCTTTCTTTCAATATTTGAAACTGAAGTAACTTTTTCTTTGAAGTGATATGACATCTTATGTTTAAAAGATAAGAAGCACTGAGGAAATGTTTAAATTATATCAGAACAGAGCCACAGCTCACTCCCCGTGATTGCACACATAAATGAAAAAGCAAAATAAAAGCTCACAAAATCCTTAGGAAATGCTTGAATTACACTTAGAATTTTTTTTGCCAGTCCTGATTTTCACTTATTGAATCAGAAGCAAATGTATCCTTTCAACAACAATCCTAACCTGACTGAATTAATTTTCATATTGACAATATTGACCAGAGCACTGTTCAAGGCTTCATTAAAATCAGCCAGCCACCCAGTAGGAACATCTCTAGTCCAGCTCTTATTGACATGATTGGGAGCACCTTTGCCAGAGATGCTGGTACTTTGGTTTCCACCTGACAGACAGACACAGGGAAGCACTGATCACACCCACTGTGGCATCATTGCTCACTGTGAATTTTCACTGTTCGCTACTAGAATTAACACTGTCAATTTTTTCATATTTCTCAATCCACTTGTTTTCCTGGTTACTCAAGGCAG